CCCACCCCACCACAAAACCCCCCACCCTGTGCACCCTCCGAAACATCAGTTAGTGTTCCATTCAATGCAAATAGAATCAACAAATAAGATAGAAAAAAAAAAAACAAGTACCGAACTCTCGAAGCCATAAATATATTAAAAAAAAAAATGCAAGAAATGAAATTGAAAATGAGAACAACAATTAAAGATATAAAATCACACATCGAAAAAAAATTGGGCAGGCAACGTGCATCACTCGTAACAGAAAATGTAATGTACATGAAAAGTCGTGTACCTGACAGGCTGACACTAATATCACACATGCAAAATGCAACATGATACAATGTATCCTACTGCTAATGCACTGGCACCACATGTCGAAAAAAATAAAAGAAACAATAGTCTACAAGTCGTGTCGTAGCTGCCTAGATGATACAAGACAAAAAACTAATGTACAGTCTGAACTGAGTCTGCTGAAACCGACGGGACTCTACGAACACCCTACTAGCACCAAAATCATACTCTACGAACACCCCACTGCTACCAAAATCATACACAACAACAAGTAAAGCACGCACACAACCACTGAGTGTCTGACAATACTGAGACAAGACGAGACGACTCAGACTACCAAAAAAACTACAACCGCACAACATGACGACGTACAGTGCGAGTAGGGGAGAAGCGGAGTGTTGGCCTCATCGGTCAACGACCCTTTTTCCCCTTCCCGCTGTGTCTCCTCGTGCCCCCTCGAGTGCCAGATGCCGACCTCTTCCTCCCTCATGAGGATGAAGAAGTCCGTGCAGCGGAGCGTCTAGATGCACGCATCGGTGGGGGTCCTGGGGAAGGTGGGGGCTCATCGTAGTCGTCGTCGTCGTCACCATCGGAACCGCTCCTGCTATCCTCCTCTCCCCACTCCTCGCCCTCGTAGTCCTCGTCCGCATCCCGCACAGCCGCATCCGTAGTAGGATCATCCTCCTCGATGGTGACTGGGCCTCCTCCCTTCCTCAACACAACAACCCTCGAACTAGCCTCTGCAATGGTCTGCTCACGGCGGGATCCACGAGGCATCCCCAACCCCTCCGCCCCCGAACTCTCTCCAAGTGCTGCGCCTCCCTCTGCAGGCACGGGGCGTGGACGAGGAGGCACTCCACGCTTGCGTGGAATCTGCTCCTGCACGACACGCGTCGCTGCTCTCAGAGCGTACTCCAAGGTCTCAGTGGACACTCCTCTGCCACGACCTTGTTGAGGCTCACAACCTGATGCCGGTACTTCCCTCGCCGCGGTCGTCCTAACGCCTCCTCCTCCCAAGCCCGGCTGAAGGCGTGCAGTGTGCTCCATGACACGGCGGGTGGAATCCAAATCTATATCTGTCCTCTCGAATATCGTCGTGTCACACACGTCCTATTGAACTGCTGTCGAGTCACGAATCCTAGATCTCCTAGGCGTGTGTGGGGATCAAGAGCCTCTGCCTGTGGGCGACGATGATGGATCACATGCAGGTGCTCAGGGAGGAGGGGGTGGCATGTCTCCTGTGCGTGGCGCTGTCTCCGTCACGCCACCCGAAAACCCTGGAACATGTCCCGCGGTGTCGCCCCTGGTGGAGGTAGACCCAGACCACACGGGCGACGCAGGACCCCATGGAACCGAAGGGATCATTTGCCATGGTGGATGTTCGAGCCTCCGATCGAATATCCGTCGGTCCAAGCGAGTAACATCGCGCACAGCCTCTCTCACCAACCCCTCTGCATCCAAAGGACGACGGACCTCCTGCGGAGCAAAGTGGCTAGGAAGACGTGGGGGCACAACCACCGGCTCGGACCCCAAATCCGTGATAACAGGCGGTGGCACACCATGCACTGCCATCTAAACCGCCTGCGGCTGTCGGGCCTGAGCCAAGTGCAGGCCCGAGAACGGAACGATTGTACCCGTCGCTGTCTCCTAGACCTCGCGCCGTGCGTCTATAGCCCCCTCGACTCGCCGCTGTCCTGCCTGAACAGCCTCATCCACCGCCTGAGGCCGTCCCTCCACAGCAACGTCCGCTGCCTCTGCTCCACCCGGCATAGCCTCGGGTACCGGCTTTGCTGCCACTCCCTCCGCAACGTCCTCCCCCGCCACTACCCCACCCTGCACACAATCCCCCCCTATCTCTCGACGCCTGGCCTCCTCTACGGCCCGTGTGAACGCCTGAGCACGCGGGTCAGTCGATGCCAAAAGTCTAGCCCTCGCTCGCTCCATGATGTCGCGTGCTGCATCTGGAGACTCAGTCGTCGTCCTCTCTCTCGCGGTCTGCGTCGAAGTCTGTCCTAGCGCCTCGTCCCTCGATGGAGCCCGGTCTGTCGATGTCGCCCCGCCGGAACTAGGTGGAAGGCCCATCGTTAAATCTAAGTCTAAGTTGGTCCCCATCTCCGAATCTGAAATCCCAACCCCCCTCGCCACACCCGGGGTCATACCCGCTATGGCCGGATCGAGCTCCTCCGTGAGGAACTGCTGCATGAGGCGCTCATCATCGCCCCCACGCTGCACCTCGGCCTGTGCGGCTATCTCCTCCTCCACGACAGCTGCCGACGGTGCCTCCTCCTCCTCCACTGCCGCTGCCACCTCAACCTCCACTGCTGCTGCTCCTCCACCTGCTCCTCCTACTGCTGGCACCTGCCCCTCCACTGCTGCACCTCCTCCTGCCGCCGGTGGATCCTCCTCCAGCACTGATGCTACCATCTCCTCCAGCACTGATGCTGCTGCTGCAGCTGCTATCTCCTCCACCGCAGCTGCGATCGTCATGTCCAGCACCGCCGCTGGTGCCACTGAACTCTCCACTGCTGCTGCCGAAGGTGCCCCCTCCTCCGACAATATCCCTGGGGAAGGTGATTGTAACCTAAGCTGGCGGACTGCCCCGCCTTTGTGGACAAGGCCGTGCTGAGGCAAAGAGGACCCCAACTTCTCCCTGTCCGGCTGAAGTGGCGAGACGGGCAATGGTGGTGCAGGACTCGGAGCAGGAGGTGGCAGCATGGACGAATCCCGCCTCGTCAGAGTGGGGGTCGTCGCCTGCGCCTCTGGGCCGCCAGTGGAAGTGAACTCACCGAATGGTCCCCAAAAGTCCTCGTCTCCCCCAGCATCTCCCTCTCCGCCCGATCCGCCGCCCGTCGCGTAGTGTGTGCCCTCGTCTCCTCGGAGTCGGGATCCTCGTGCATCTCGTCGATCTCCCGCGGAATGCGGAGCGCAGGGTCATCTGCCGCCTCAGGTATCGGCTCCTCTCTTGAGTCGTCCTCCCTGGGGTAGGGACGAAAAATGCAATCACGTCTATCGAAAACGGCATCAGTCGAGGGTGGTGCGGACGCCCGGATGGGATCCCGGGTAATAAGTGCAACCTGACGAGCAATCTCCTCCTCCGTCATCCCCCTGCGAGTCCCCGAGCGCATAGGCTCCAACTCGAGTCCTGCCTGGCAATCCAGCATGCCCTCGTCCCACTGCCATGGCAGCACATAACCGGATCAAGCCCGCCGATACTCAGTCAACCGCACATTTGCGGTGATCTCAACGAGTTGCACGACCTTCTCGAAGGCCAACTGGTTGCGCTTCGTCGTGTGAATGCCCTCATGGACTGCACAGTTCCTCTCTGCTGGAGAGGCGCAAGACCACATGTGCATCACCCGAAGAGCGCAACGCTGCAACTCTGGCGCGCCCGACCCGAACTGAGACCACCAAGACGCGCACTCAATCGTCTCGCTGTCGCCGCTGCACGCGTGCCCATGAGCACGCCCCTCCGGCTCGCCCCAATCCCCAAACCTGCCCTGCTGAATGTGGAAGTCCTCAAACTGCCGACATGCAAGGATGTACTCCACACCCTCCAACTCGAATCCCATCTGCGTCAGAATGTACCTCTTGGCTTGCCCCACAAGCCAAGCATCGTACCGCTCTACTTGCCCCGAAAAGTAGCGAAAGTGTCGCCTGCGGGGGTTCAGTAAGAACCCTGCGGAGTGAGCCGGCTCAAGCATGTGCTGTGTGCGAGCCTGCACACGCCTGATGATCCGCTCGGCGAGCGACTCCCCCAAAGAGGTGCATGCGACCGTGACACGGCGGACAAGATCCTGCGTCCACTCGATCATGAGGAGCATGAACTGTCCTCCACGATCCATCCGTCTGAGCAACTCCATGACGGGCTGCATGATATGGACGATGGTGGCCACCCTATGCCACCATGGATGTCATCTGATCTGTCGGCGCACCCAACGCGCCATGACGCACACATCGGCGAACCACGGGATGGAAGCAAAAGCCCGCGCGTCGTCCCCTCGCTTCACGTCCTGCAGAGTGTCCTGCAGGGCCAACAGCCTCTCCAGCATGGAGTAAACAGACGCGAACCGCGTCTCGCAAGAAAGAATAAGCCCCTTGTCGGGGTTGCGCGTCCTAAAAAAATGAAGGACGGCCAGGTGGGTTTTGAAAAACACCACCAGCACACGAGCGCGTGTGATCGGGTCCACAAACGCGTCGCAACTCGTCCCCATGTCTGACAACAATTTGTTGCAGACATGGACGGAGCACGGGAGCCAAGTGATCCTCCTCAGTCCAGGAGGTATGGAGGGCGAGGTCAATGCCCTCGCAGCCCCCATATAGGCAGATGCGGAGTAAGTGCATATCGCATTGATCCGCTGCGGCCCGCAGAAGCTGAACTCGTGGAAGATGGTAACCCATCTCCGAAGGACGTGCACTACATCGTCCGCCTCACCCTCTCGATTGATCGCCGTGTACACGACGACCCCTCGAGAGCCAGCAGCAAGGAAATTCACGATCGGTCTCCCGTCTCGTGATTTCCTCCCATCGGAGAGGAGGGTGGCACCAATCACCCAGAATGGCTGCCTCACCTCCTCCAACTCCTTCGCCAACTCCGCACGGTGGGTCTCCACCGCCCGCATACTCGCAATCTCGCAGTGGTTGGGTAGCACTGCGCACAGGGAACTGCCAGACTGCTCAAGAAGCACCTTTTGATATGCCTTCCATGCCTGGTTGCGGAAGGCATTGAAGGAGACCCCGTTGGAATACAGCCAGCGAAGGAATGCCTTCTTGTGGCGAGCAACCCACTCGCCACCATAGACATCAGTCACCTTCTGCTGGTGAAGCCTTTTACCTGCTGGGGTGGCAGCCGGATCACTTCCTCCTTCCTTCCTCTTGGAGGACCCCTCCGTTGCAGCTCCCTTGCCTGCTCGTCTCCACCAGTCCTCCAACCTCTCCCCAGTGCCTGGATAAAACTCTGGCACGTCCTCCCGTTCCGGGACTCCCTCCTCACCCGGGCCACGCGCCTCGCGATCTACGTGGATCACGCCCTCCTCCGTCTCACCGCCTCCACCACCCAAAGTGGGGTCTACCGCACCATGCCCACATTCTCCCCCGACCCCTCCCTCCGCCGGACGCCGCCCCGCCTCTCCTCCCCTTGCACCACCCGTGCCGGGCACATCGAGTCCACGCTCCGCTGCATACCTGGCAACCCTCTCCATCTGATCGGCCTCGAACTTCTGCTGAGTCCGTCGAGCAATCTCGTACAACGCCTCGTCGCTGACGTCCTTGCAGTAGTTTGTCTACGAGAAGTGCCTCCTGGCCTGAAATTGGGTCCCTTGAAAAACTTTGTTGCAAAACGTGCAACAGAGCATCATAACCCCCTTGCTGTCGACCTTCTGGCCGACAACCAGGTACCGATAGACAGGGGACCAGGCCCTGAATGTATCCTGCACATGGTCCGCGGCAGCCTCATGCTGACGGCGCTGTGCCCTCCCTATATCGACCACCCTGGCGAGACAACCCTTGCTGACTCCCCCCGACCTCACTGCCGATGCCTAAACCCCCGTTAACCGCTGCCCGCCACAGGGTTCCCCTTCCCCCAACCCCCTCCTGCAATCCAACCCTCCTTCACCGCCGCCCGCCTCAGGGTCCCCCGTTTAGCGCCCCCCACCGTCTCCCCCGCTCGCCCGCACCCACGGCCAGTCGACCGAACCGCCACAAACGCACCGCGAGCCCGCGCGTTAAATCCCGTTTAACGCCGTTCAAACGCGATAAAACGCGTTAAATCCCGTTTAACGCCGTTGAATTAAAATTTCAACGGCGTCTTTCGGGACCGCGCGTGCCAGTTCGCAGCCATCGCCGCGCACTTCGCTGCTCCGCCTTCGTCGAGTCGACGCCGCCGCTCCGCTGCGCTCCACACTCGCCTGCAACTACTCTCTCTCTCTCTCTCTCTCTCTCTCTCTCTCTCTCTCTCTCTCTATATATATATATATATATATATACATATATATATATATATATATATATATGTCTATCTCTCGCGTGCGCGCTATGGCACAATCTCTCTCTCTCTCTCTCTCTCTCTCTCTCTCTCTCTCTCTCATCCGCAGCGTTCGACGCACAGGATACCCGTTTGTCGCATTGGAGCGGTATGGCTCGCACGGCAAATGAACTGCGGATGAACGCGAGTACCGTTTTTGTACCCGTTCGGACCGTTTCCCCTGCACCACCACCACAGCCAGCACCCCGCGAACGCCCTGCAGGACTCAAAGGGGTTCGCGCATTTTGTTTTTAATTTTTTTTTCCAAAAAAAAAAAAGAAAAAAAAAAAAGTGCATGGGGCGGTACCCGACAACGGTCACTACCACCCCACACTTTCACAAAACCCCTTACCCCCCCCCCAACGCGCGGAAATGCGGTTCGCGGACCCCGTTCATTCACGTCCAACGCGCGTTTGAACGGGGATTGAACGCGAATTTAACGCGCGTTCAATTTTTCAACGCGAAACCCACGTTGAAATGATTTTCGGACACACAACACTCAACCGTCTGCCCCGGGTCTTTCCCGACCCTGGCCCATCACCGTCGAAAGGGAAGAAGCGAAGCGAAGAAGAAAAAAGAAACGAGGACACCGATGCAATTTACCCGCCGATCCCACCTCCCGTAATTTGCCCAACCCACCCACCTCATGACCCCTCGTTGTCGTTGCGCAGAAAGTCGCGCGGCACAAAAAGTGGTTCGTCACATATGTGACGCCCAGGGGCCAATCTTGAGCAAGCTTCTCCTTGCTCGATGTTGCGACACGTGTCGATCTCTCTAATCGATCGACGACGTGAAGCTCTCTACGTGCCACTTACTGTGAGATAAGAGTGTGAAAGTCATCCAACGTGGCATACACGGGCTCTATCCTACAAGTTCCTCGGGAAGGGCAATCTGATCACGGACGGAGGAGCTGGTAGGGGATCTTAGGGAAGAGAGGGCATGTAGCGATAGATGTCCTGAGTATCGAGGGGGGGACGAAAGAGTTATAACGCCAATATCACACATGTCATTACCGTAGGTTATGAGTGTGGAAGTCATCCTGTTGACATGTCATCAGATCCGATTGTGCGTTAATGACCAGCAGGGAGAGGATAAGGGAGTCGGTACATGAGGGGACGGCGTGGGGGAGGGTCACTTGGGAGTGGAGGTAAGAAACTCTCCATTCCCGCTACCGTCTCCGGAAGCTCTTGATATCTGATGGTGCGATGTATGCTGGGGAATCGGCACAGGGGAGAGAGGCAAGGTAGTTGGGATAGAGGGTTTGGAAGGTGCGGAGCACGCCCGCGTGGAACTGATCATAATCTGCACACGCGGGGATAGTTCCTGTGATCGTGCAGTAAACTTTGATCATGTTGTGTCTCTGCGACACGACACTGAAAAGAAGAACGTGGAGGGAGAAGGAGGAGGAGGTGCATTGGGTGGTGGAGTGCAGATACGCCGTGAGCCAGGGTTGTCGAACCCCGGCCCCGGGACCACGCCGGGGTTCCGGGGTTCCGGGGGTCGGCACCCGGGACCCCGGCCCCCTGTAGGGGGAAAAAAA